ACCACTGATGTATCGAGACTGGATTTACTGTCAGGAGTTGTACACAGGATAGGACAGAACTGGCAACTGAATAGTTAGTAGAATTTGGATTGTGCTCAGTGCTGACATTCTTGTTCTTATGCTCAACTGGACAGTATGTAATGTGATGATGTACTCAAGTTACATGGTATGTTTTTTGTTTCTTTTGTATGCAGGTGTTGTAGTTTAATTAATCTTAATGTATTAAAATAATGTAAAGAAAATGCTTGTAGCAGACCATCTTTTTGAGCATAATACAGCTCTCTCCAAAAAGGTATAGATTACAGATCGTAGAAAGAAGTTGTGTACAGTAACAGCAGCTAAAACAGATGAGTAGAAAATCCCATATATACTTGTACCTGGGAGATCAAATGTTCCAATACATCATAATGTAAAAACCACCCCCACAAATCTCCCTGCTAAACAGCACATTAGAGGCTAACCGAGACCCTCCTTCCTGACATTTGGGAGAAACATTAATGCTCTCTGCTGCAGCTTATACAGCCCAGGAGCAGATGCATCACCTTGAGGCTTCTGCTTGTCTAGTTTACAATGCCCTTCTAAGCCCATCAACTTCAACTGCTCTTCAGGGAGAGTGCAACCCCATCCAGAGCAGATACCTCAATCCCCAGGTCTTTTCACTCACCAGGAGCACTTCTGTCAAGATTCAACTTCAGTCTGAGCCCACATCAACCCCCCCAAAACTGCCTCTAAGCACTACTTTAGAGTTTCTACAAGCTCCCTTGGATGTTGGAAGTGTGAGATTAAGAGCTGAATGTCATCAGTTTAACAGTGAAAGCCCAGTTCAAATCTTTGGATGACCTCACCCAGCTGACCCACATACCTATTAAAGAGCACGAGGGACAAGATGGAACCTTTTGTGACAAAAAAGCCCAAGGAGCCCAGCAGCATTCCCCCAGCACCATCTTCTCAAACCTACCTTTCAGATAAGGCTGAAATCACCACAAAATGGTGTCTCCCAGTCCCAACTCCAAAACATGATCAAGGAAGATATCATGACCAATGGTACTAAAAGCTGCTAAGAGGTCTAAAAGAATTGGTAGGGTTGCACCCCCCCCCTCCATATCCTGGTTCAAGTCATGTACCAGGGCAACCAAGACTATTTCAGTCCCATATCTGGCCTGAAGTTCGACTGGAAAGGATCCAAGTGATTCACTTCATCCAAAAATTAACGGGGTTATCCAGAAATCACCAGCTCAATCATGGCTCATTTACACCTTACTGATAATTTCTGCACAAAATACCTTAAGTGTTAATTGGAATTGCAACAGTATTAGGGATTGTAAATAATTGCCTTTAATTACTACCATAACAATTGTTCCCCCTCCCCTATTTAACAATAGGGTACATTAGAGTTCCAATATGTAGTACAGTGCAATGAATTTATGTCGGAAAGCATGGTACTGGTTAGTTTGGGCTTGGATTCTAAGCAGTGTTGAGGGGGTTCATGCTTGAGGAGGGCAACTTTTCTATCTTTTCCCTTCCAATGCAGCTTTCTGTAACCTTGGACATTGTGTTGCTCCAGGTCAGTGACACCCCTCCACCCCAGAACAGCACAGCGAACCAAAGCGGAAATCTACAGCAGAAGGGATCAGCAAAAATCAGTTGCCCCTCTTCCACAGATGAAAATGTTGTTCTGCCAACAGAACACACTATAGGATGGACACCTTTGTTTTTAAATGCTTTACTGGTATGGCTTTTTGCCCCTAATAACTGAGGTGGCAGTGCTGAAGGGGTTGCAGGTGTACAATTTTTCCTTAAAGTGCCCATGGAACTGCCAAACTACAAGGAGGGGGGAATGCAAGGAAAAAGCAACTAAAGCATACATGTTCGTTTAGACCATAGTCTCCATTATCTGCCTTTCTATGAAAATACCCAACTCCTAAGCATCATTGGAGAACGAATCACCTTTCAGTTCTTTTTCAATGCCCATATTTTTAACCTCTCCCTCACACACAGGGTACGGTACAAGCACTCATGCCAATACACATCCCAAAAGAAACCAAGTGATACAGCTCTTTTTGTGGTAATATTTTTTTTGGAATGGTTATTAAATTTTCCAAATTTGAATTTAAATTGTTTATGCTTTTTTTTTTTAAATATTGAACCATTCCATATTCTCTCTTTATTGCAAAAAGACAACATGCATCTTAGAAATTCAGATTGTAATCAATAAAACAAACATTACATGTATGAATTTAAATGTATAAACAGTTAGAAATTCAACAATATCTTCTAATATACTATTACACGTTCACAATTCTGTAAAAACTATAATACAAGTTTACTGTACATTGAGAGGAATTTAATATTCCTTTTCACATGATTTTGTTAAAAACCATTGAAGCATCTCTATTGTATGTGGCCATATATTTTCAAATCAGTTTTCAGATGCTGTTTTTTTATGTTTCAGGATTCATAAAACAAAACAAAAAACCAACACAAAAGATTTCACACCAGACAGCTTATATAGCAGTTAACACATGTACGTTTTAGGGGGTGATTCACTGACCAATTGACTGTCACATTGTTTTCAGTTTTACACACTCCTAAGTGGTCAGGAAGGCATAATTCTAGAATGTTAACATTTTATCTTAGATTGACTTATTAGTTCTGAAGTTACTTGGAAGATATATTTGACATTAATTATGCTAAGTCCATTATAGCTTGGGAAGGTGGAAATTATATTTTCATAGCAACTAAAAATAAAGTGTTATCTGAAGTTACCTACCTAAAACATACAAATGGTGTCCGACTAAGTTCTAATACAGGGAGATCCATAGCAATGTCAAAATGAAGGTCACTTTGGACTAGTTTTTACCTTCTCTTCTGTGTTAACTGAATTACCACTCTGCTGCCCATCACTTACATTCCCAGTAACACAATAGTGTGCTTTCAATACATGAGCTCAGGGGCACAACTCATTTTTGTGCTTCTGGGTAAAGAAATCACATTTAAGATGTCACTAGAGGATTTATGTAAGCCAACATATCCTTTAACCCCCCCCCCTCATTAAACACCTTTCCCCTCAACCCCTGTATTTCACACACAACTAAAAAAGCCAACACTTATGAGCAAGGACATTTGTCCTTTTTTGAACAGTGTGCTAACAAAATTTTAAAAACCATATGAAAAGGAATCCCATCCAGTCTGTGTCAAAGCCTACCAAAATTTCTCTTATAGCTTCACTTACTCCTTGTAGTCTTCCGGATACAAAAATACAAGAATTCTTATGGAAATCTAGATGCTGGTAGTTTTAGTACACAAAAAAGCAAAATATTTACAAAATTATACAGCTTTAAGAAAAACCCTGTACAATATATATATATATATAGAAATCCTTTGTTCCCTCTATCATTTGCTTAAACTGTTCAGATTCAAGCATTTTGCTGTGATGGGTCATTCAAACCATAAGCTGAACCACAGACATTCCAAAGATATTACAGGTCACAGAAGAGCAAGGCTTTGTATATTAGATGTGCAAGAATCGTGCTTTTTTAAAAAACTTCATTCACTGAGATTCAACAATAGTAGGAATGTAGCAATCTAGGAAGCAAAGGCCTTCATGTGAAGGGGAAAGAATCTCTTTAAAATTAAGCTCCTCTTCAAATGTCACTAGAACCTAAACTGATACTGGTTTGGCTGTTTACAGGCTACCACAACAACAAATATATATATATTTTTTAAAAAAACCCAAACTGAGAGGAAGAACAGAAAAAAATATATGCCTGACTTTATGTGACATCATTTCCAGACTTAGTTAATTTACTACTTCTGGTATTTAAGAGTTAATCAAGTACCACTTGTGTTATTACATTTGAACATAAAGACTTTTGAAGGATGAAATTAATATATTTTTTCTGATTTGCTTGCACCTATGTTTTAGTATCAGGACAGTTCATAGAATAATGTTTGCTCTGCTTTTTCCAATTTTAACATTCAGAATGCAAGTGGCATTACATGCCTTACATAACATAGTGCTATTGTGTATAGAGTACAGTACAGAGGCACTAAGAATGAAGGGGAAAGACCCACGGGGTAAAACATTTAGGTTTCAGAGCAGCATAATAGGTATGAATATCTAGTGTTCTGATTAGTCAAAACATATTAACCAAGTCTCGATCAGAACCAGCACTATTTACTATTTGGTGCTTTGAAAAGAAGATAAAATCAAAGCACACAAAAGGCATCTAAGTTAAAAAATCATTACATTTATCTTTCTTTAACAACAGTTTTAACATCCAGTTTAGGAAATTGCTCTGTAGAGCAATTATATCACTCCAAGTGCTTTCTTAGAGCAAGACTTGGTCTTTGTGGGCTACAGACAGTAACTTTCTTGGAATACTGCATAGACTAGGACTTAAAAAAATAAAAATAGCTAATTCAGTCATGGAGTTAGGAGAATGACTTCTAATTGCTGGGGAGCATTTAAAAATTCTAAACACATTTTCCAATACTGGTAGAGGCTGTTCTTCACCAAAAACTCTTAACTCTGTTTACTTCAATGCAATTTGTGCAGGATGCCTACTCTTGTTCCACCAAAGTGAATGTGGCTACTCAACTGAACCCAAAATGAATCAAACAGATTGAGTTAATTCTGAGGATTAAATTGAGAATTAACTAAAATATTATGATAGGACTTCAACAGTGCTCACAATGACTAAACAGAATACAACGCAGTAGACTTGGGCTGGGCAGCCTGACACTATAATCTCTTCCACAATCACATTATGTGCAATTCTTGATGGCTTACAAACACAGAAGTGAAATGGATTTAAAGCTAAATAGCACATCATCAAATGAATGAACTTTGTTGAATTCTCAAATTCAAGGCAATGCTTATATATAAATGAATTTTACCTACATCTCTCATCTGAGACTGTATTATTATTAAATCCTGTAAAGAGAACTGCTAATAATATAACCCATATTTAAAAAACAAAATGGATGCAAGTTGGGCTTGAAGAATTCAAGATGAAATGTTATCAGAGGATCACAACCATCTTTATAGCTCTGCATGAGCAATGGGCCTTTGGCTGATCTAATGTCATGGCTACTTCTTTGCCAAGTTCATATATGAAACTCACACTTGCTCTATTGTATATAAGAAAAACAAAACAAAACAGATTTTTGGCTCATTCACTTCCTTTAAATAATTTTTAAAAGTTTTACTTTGAACAGTTCTAAAACTATATGATTCAATTTCAAGTTTCATCTTCTCCAAGAACGAGATTCATCTTCATCTTCATCATCATCGTCATCATCTTCAGGCAAAAATAAATCTGAAGTTTCTGTCTCCTGGGTAAAGACAAAAGATAATGTGGTTTGACAGAAAATTAATCTATCATGAGATACAACAGGCAAGTAGCAAAATTTTGGTCTAAATTAATGTTCCCAGTATATTTTAACATGGTTAAAGCTGTTTTAAATAGGTCTCTCAAGGGCAAATCACACACATAAAATATGATGAGCAGGTGGTAATCAGACATGGACAATTGATTCTAAATGCTGTGATCACACTTGTCCATCAATTCACCAGTGCTGTGAAATTATTTAATACAAGCAGTGCAGATTGGTTCTAGAGTAAATAAGAGCCCTGACAGATCAGACCAATGACTCATCTAGTCCAGTACTCTCTGTCACACATTGGCCACCTAGTTGCCCTGGAGGTCCAACAAATAGAAGACAGAGGCCAAGACACTCTTACTGATATTTTCTCCTAGCAAACCTAGAGATTCACTGCTTCCAACTATGGTGGTTCCCTTTACTCCCCCTACATAGTTAGTAGCTGTTCACAGACCTATCCTCCATGAAACTGTCCCATCCTTTTTTAAAGTCATCTATGCTCATGGCTATTACTATGGCCACTGGCAGTGAATTCCACAATTTAATTACTCATTGAATAAAGAAGTATTTCTTTGTGTTGGTTCTGAACCTATCAACTTCATTAGGTGTCCCTGAGTTCTAGTATTATGGGAGAAGGAGAAAAATAGAAGAGGAGGAGATTGGATTTATATCCCACCCTTCAAGAACAGCTGTGCCAGAACTATGGCTTGCCCAAGGTCATCCAGCAGGTGCTTTGGACCAACACGGCTACCCCACCTGAATCTAGCTAGTAGCAAAAGCAACTTTTTTAAAATCGAAAACCTACAGTAAACACTCAAGAATTATTTCATTGTTCATGAACTGTGGTTGTTATTCTGTACCAAGTTATGCTTAATTATACCTGTATAATGGCATGGGACTACACATTCAAGTTTGAAGCATGGGGATTTAGTTAACTTTGTATGCAATTTTGGTTCATATGATGTGCTATACTTTTTGCATCCCACTGCTAGGAATTTCTGAACATATAAAATGATCTGGGATGCACGTTGAACAAATACACCTGTGCTTTGATTGAATGTATGGCAGTAGGTGACTTCATCCAGGCGACTTCAAAGCAAGAGACTCATATTTGTTTTTAGAGCTTCAGAAATAAGAATTTTGTAAATCTGGCCAGAAAAAATAGCTAGCACTATTCAACTATTTTAACAAATAATTAATCTAGAGCTACGTTTTCTAGAAATCCTACCAAATTTATATTTAGAAGTATTTAGTGCCACAACATAACCGAATCGTTGACAAGCTTTCTAAAATGTGTACAGTCCAGAAGTAATGATTCACTACTCCAGTAATTTATTCCAATACCTCTTCCTTAGGTTCCTCCTCCTCAGTTTCAGCAGACACAGAGGGTACCTTGGGTTTGTGCCATGATATCTGAAGTTGTCTGTCTTTGAACTTTAATCCTTGGTTGGCAGCCTAAAGTAGGATATTTCAGAAAATGACAGCAATGCATGTAATATGGTAAGAAAATCAGTGACAACATGCCATTTGTTTTTAGCACCAAAAGAAGCTCCAAATGCTATTCTTCACCAGCAGTCTTTATAATAATTGTTACCTGCACACTCTTTTTTTCTGAATTACAAAGTGCTTAACTATTCATTGGATGAAGTACATACTTGAATGTATTGAAGCCAAAAAGGAAAACTGTTTATGTCAGGGGTGGCCAAACTGTGGATCGGGAGCCACACACGGCTCTTTCACAGATATTGTGTGGCTCCCGGCAGGGTGGCTGGGGAAGAGAAGGGGAGGCATGCCTCCCCACCGGTCTTCCCTTTCCCAGCCAGTGCTCCCCTCTTTGGGTAGGCTTGTGGTGGCGGGGGGAGAGGGAGCAGAGAAAGAAAGCAACTTTAACTGCATTCTCAAAGCGCCGCCCCCCCAGCTTGGAGAAAGCATTCGTTTCTTTAAATATCGGTTTTAACCCCTTTTATTTTTATTTCTGGCAGTCTTATTTAATGTTAATAAAAAGCAAATTTGCATATTTTCCAATAAAAACATGTGTATATATAATATTTGTTCATGTCTTGCTGCTCTCAGACATCTGATGTTTCTTCTATGTGGCTCTTATGTTAAGCAAGTTTGGCCACCCCTGGTTTATGTTAACCAAGCAGCATCCAATAAGATCTAGTAACTGACAATAACTTAATCACTTTTAAGTATGATAAACGTTTCGCTTAAATATTAAGTAAGCACCATCTCTTCAGAATTACAGCAATATTAACTGACTAGTCCTGCCTGCTCAGAGAAAGTGAGAAGATTAACTCATGCTGTAGGACATCTTCCACCAGTGGAAAATGCAGGCTATTTATATCATGTTACTTACAATTTCAGCTTCAGAGCGGGATTTGAATGTCAGAATAATACTTAAAGGAGAGTCCTCCTCGTGAAGGCCTTCAATATCTCCAAATTTCTGTAAAACACATCATATGAATAAGGATCATGCATATTTTACAGTGCAGCATGCTAATATACCATAATAAAAGGTTATATGCTTCACGGAAGACTGTTTTGATGGGAAAGAATGTGCAGAAGGAAAAGACTTGATGAAAGAGAAAAATGTTACAGGCAGTACTGTACTAGTGAAGGCTAAAGTTTGGAGATTGGAATTTTCACCTGAAAATTGATTGGTATATTAATAAGCATACCATCACAATGTTAATTCCAGAAGCTACTCAGTGGCTTCCTAATTACTTGTCCATTAAGAAGATATTCTTATTTTAAAACAAAGGCCAATTTGATCAGTGAGCCAAAATGGTAATTACCTATAAAGCTCATCATTCAAATTTAGGACATGGTTGTGAGCTGAACACTGCTGCTATTTGACTGGAACACAAAGCATCTAAGACTACATTATCTCGGCTTCACAGGATTGTGTGGAATGTATTCTTCTCAGCTCTCACTGAACTCCCAAATTGCTTTTTAGGTTTCCATGTTGAAACAGTAGTTTGCAAGACTAGTGTGAGAGCTGTTTAAAGGGAAATTGCTTCCAGCGCTCATGTGCTATGCTGACTATTCCACATATTGAAAAACCAAGTTAGAGTTCAGCACAGGCAGGTGCTGCAGGGGAAGATAAGGATCTGGCATCCCTATTCAGAACCCTTCCCTTAACACATGGCATCTGTTGGTAAGTACTTGTGCACATGTTACACAGGTATTGCTGCCAAAGATGAATGCAGGAAGAAGGGTTTAAAAACTACACTTTCTCATGGACCAAGTGAGAGTGGCAGAAACTCCATGATCAGCACAACAGAAAATATTCCGTTATAGAAGTAAGCTTCCATAATGTCTGGAAAGGTATCTGAAGACCAGAAACAAGACAAGACAAGGTTTCTACACTAGAACTAATTTGATAGTCTCAACTGGGAAGCAGTATTCCCTCTAAGCTGAGTTAGTGTGAGCTATCTCACAGTTTTTTAGCCTCTGGCTCAAACATTTTTGTCTTAGCTCAGGAAGGATCCCCTCCAGAGTAAACTAATTTATGCAGCAGCCAAATCACTCACTCACAACTTTAATGCCAGTAGCTCACAAAGTGGAGTATTTGCTCACAAGACTCCACAGCTTAGAGGGAGCATTGCTGGGAAAATCCTGCTATAAACTGTATATTGAGACCAGTTAGTGCAGGAGAGATAAGAATGCCTTTGGAATAATTTGGATCCTGTCCTCAGGCCTCCTCATTTAGTAACACATTTACTGGATCCATAAAACAAGTTAACTGACTATAAAGAGCAAAGCTAAAACATGAGCATGAAAACCATTACTTTATTATATAATGGTAACTTACTAAAATAATATCTACAATATACAGATGCTACATTAAGAATACTTCACAAGATGTTAGTTGCATAAACTGTAATCCACTTTCAAAGGCCAACTTTTTATGATTACTGTTGCTCCATTTTGGCTTGTCTTCTCTCATCCCACATCGATAAAGAATCAGATGTTTTCTGTGGGTCACATGCAGGGCTGGTCCGTCATAGACAATTTTTAGGCAGTGGCCTAGAGCGGCTCCTTAAGAGGCAGCGCCCCCTGGCCTGCCGCCCCTCCTTTGCCTAAACAGGGTTGTAAATCCCAGGCCACCACCCATCTTTCTGGGAGGGCGACCCGCTTGCTGAAAGGGAGCCAAAGGTGCCGTGGGGAGCAGCCTGGAGCCGGCCCTGCCTGTGGCCACCAGCGGGGGAGCTTCACTTCACAGTCGCAGACCGACCTCTCGCCCCTGTGCCTCTGGCCAGCCGGCAGGAGAGGACTCCTGGCATGCCTGCCTTCGCCACCCTGCCGCCTTCTTCCGCTGGCTGGTGGGAGCCAGGGCGCCTGCGCTCTGCCTGCCACCACCCCGGGCTCTACCTGCGCCGCCTCCCTCAACCTGCCTGAGCTGGCCCTACCTGGTGGCTGCCCCACCCCTCCAGGGCCCCGCCAGAGCCAGTCCCGCTGGCCGGCCTCCAAGCAGTGCCCCAAGCCAGGCCAGGCAGGATTGCCGGACTGACCCCCGGCCTTAAAGCAGGAACTGGGACAGAGGTGGCGAAGGCCGGGTCGGGCATATGCAACAGGCGCTGGCGGCTCCCCATGGCCAAGGAGCAGCTTTCCAGAATGGAGGGCTTAGGGTTGCCAGCCTGCAGGTGGGACCTGGAGACCCCCCCCCCCCCCGGCATTACAGAGATCAGGTCCCCTTGAGGAAAGGCGTGCATTGGACTCAGCTGAGCTGCCTCCTCCCCAAACTCTGCCTTTGCCAGACTTCCCCCCCCCCAGGAATTTTCTAACTCAGAGTTGGCAATCCTGTTTAGACTGAAAACACTGGAGGAAGCCAGGAATTCCTGGCTTTGTTAATGGCCCTGTTATGGATTCATTGGTGTTTTTATGTTTATTGATTGTATTACTGTGCTAGTTGTTACTACAGAACCAGATCAGGAGCAAAGACACTGAGATTGTGGGCTTTCGAACCCCTTAAAGGTCAGAGCACAAAAACACATCTTAAAAGCCATTAAAACCAGAATGGGGGGGGAGGCACCAGAAGGTAGCAGTGCCTAGTGTGCAAAAAAACCTGGAGCCGGCCCTGGTCTCATGTGACCCAGTAACAGAGATTCTGGCCATTAGCTCTTTAAAAGGCAAACAAGCCAGCAGCAGGAGTAAAACTGCACTTCATCTGCTCAATTCTGAGGAACATAGCTCTTTATCTTGCTTGCTACTCTGTAATAAGACTAGGGTGCATTTGGTATAACCTGGATGGAATTCCTTAAACTGGATGGTATTCCTTAAGCTACCGATAAAGCTGAGCCTGAAAAAAGCCAGCTTTTATTCAGGTCAGCTATACCACAAAAAATGGAGAATGGGGGAAACTTCTTTTAGGGCCCACAGAATTGGACCCCCTGTCCAATCTTTTAAAAATGGTGGGGGGTGTTGAGGAGAGGTAACAGCAGCTATGCTGCGAATCTTGTGCCTCTACCTCAAAAAACAGCCCCCCCCGCCCCAGTTACCCCTGGATCAATTCTCCATTATAGCCTACGGTGACCATTGACTATAATGGTTCCCCTAGGGGTATTAAAGGAGCCAAAAAAAAATCAGCAATCCTGAATATTTCCTGAATCCCAATACCATACTGATATTGGGATTCCGGAATATTGGGAAATAGCAATATTTTTCGGGTTCAATATATCCAAATGCGAAAAATACCAATTTGCACAACCCTAAGTAAGACGATTAAACAAGGTCCCTCAGTGATCAACTGGAATGGTTTTATCCACAAAAAGATCCTGCCACATTAGAACTCTGTCAAAAAACAACTATATTCATATCTCCATTTCTCAAAAATAGGTTGGTCTGTCCTAAATAGTTTACCTGAATTGTCAGCAAAAAGATCAGATCAATGAGGTAACCGAGACCACATCCAGACACATCTTCTCAAAGCCCAGAGACCTCCTTTCTGTTTCTTATTTGGGTACATTCCAACAAACCAGAGATGCCTCTTAAAACCCTATTGGCCAATTAGATAACATACCTAAAAGCCCACCCTGCCCCCTCCCCACTTTCTGAAAAAGACAAGAGCATTTAACCCAAGACTCTGGTTCTATATCTGGGATAAGAATCTGTTCCCAATATGCACTCCTGACTAGCTCCAAAACATCTAAGTTCCTGTCCGCCACGACAGAACATTGATTCTGCCATTTGCCTCTCAAGTCCACTGCACGTGTGGATCCCTGCATTCAGAATCTGACCATTGCCACACCGGCACAAATACGTAGCTATAGCCAGTTCTGACTTCCTTCTTGCTTTCTCTTTTAGCTTCCCTCTGAGTAGAGTTATGCTGCACAGTATGTGTGGATTTTTAGAATACTTGGCTCATTTTAATGGGCTTTCTAGTACCACATATTATATGGAACGCTTAATATTATTGACTGCTTGAGTTTGTTAATTATCCAGTTCAGATATCTGTATTATTCCCTCAGTAACATTATTTCTGTTTTCACTCTTATCAGGACTCTCAGTATTCCTTCCAAATGTGTAGATCCGGTTCACCACTTTGCCAACAGATCCCTTACAGTCATTTGTGTGGGTCAGAGTAGGGACATTCCTTTTAGATGAGCGTACAACTTGAGCTGGCAACTCCTAGTATGGAAGTGAGAGGTGATGGAAGGAGTGTTTTCTTATGTCTGGGATATTTTTTTGTGTTGATTTCTGTTGAACTGTAGAGCAGGCTACATTCACACTGACCTGTGTTTATCATACGCTTGTCTCCTTGATCACAAATGATAACACTAAGTATTTGGCCATGGACTTTTACCTGGCATAGTGGTGGTTTCAGAACTGCAATAATACAATTGGAGACCTTTACAAATTTTCGTAGAACACTGTTACTTTCATGTACAAAAAAGGGGAATTATCCCCCACATACACAGCAATCATTTCTTATGCACAATCACGAGCTGAGCAAGGCAGTGCTTCTCAGCTGACCAGCCTACCACAAGAAGCCTCACGAGATTTTCTTATGAACATATCCATTTGTGATTTACCATGCAGAACCATCCTGAAAAGTGGCTCTGCATCCTCCTTGTTGATGACCACATAATTAGGTGGCAATTGTGACTGTGACAACATCTGCCTCCTGAATGCTCAGCTTGTTTTAGAAGGAGAGTTCCTACATGCTTGTATGTAAAGAAAGAAAGAAGCTCTCTCTACTGAAGTGATGCTCAGACTGTGGGTGGGGACCCAAAAGTGGGCCACAACTTTTCACAAGTAAGCTGCAAGGCCCCCTGGAAGGAAGAGGAGGAGGGGTGAGAAAGAAGAGGAAGGTCTAGGAGGCCAAATAGCAAATTTGGGACTGCCTTATGTGCAAAATGGCCACGAAACTTAGTTTATTGCTCAATAACGCTACAAAAATGGTAAACGTTTAAAAATAGCACTTTGTTAAGTGTTAACATATGTGAAGTATTCCTGCATTTTATGTTGAGATGGGGCTAAGTGTCATGTTTTACTTTGTGACCCACTGAAAACACGTTCTCTGGAGAGGCAGCAATCACATTTTCTAAGTAATTAAAGTAGTGTGGAGTTACTTTGCACAAAGGACCCCAAAAAGTACAGTGGCATGTATCTAACCATGCAGCTCCAAGGAAGAAGAGGTGGCAATTCTGCTGATTTTTTACCTTCCACTGAAGACTCCTGCTTTGATCCCTGGGGAACAACATTTGAGGACTCAAGTGGGCTACATCAGGAGGTAGTAGCAAGAAAGCCCCATGGATCTTTTGCATACACACCTGTACATTTAAAAGTGGGTCCAACTTCAGAAAGTTTGAGAACCACTGCTCAAGTGTAAAAGCTGCCTGGGCCAGTCTCAAGAGGTAAGAAGTCACTGCAGTGATTCCAAGCTTGAAAAGTACGCTTTGGATCAATGACAGCGCCAATCAACAATTTAAAAGAAATATAATCAACTGGAAGCTATGGATAGCCACTATTTAGAATGTCTCATTTGCCACTGAGTGCATGGAGACACAGGATGCAATCCTACCATTAATTCCTGTTAAAGGAGCAGACTAGATTCATACAGAACTGGTCAATCACCAACACAGTCAAAAGGGATGGTATTCATTTTCCTGGAAAATACGCCTTTGTATTATTCTAGAGTACAGGACAGAAACTAGAAAGGTTAGATTAAATCCTAGTCACAAATGGCTGACTTACTGAGAAGTGCTGCAACAATTCGTCTTTTTCCTCTTCCACAAAGCCCCCAATAGTTATTGCTTTGGGACGATGATCTACCACCATATGGTTCATTGTACCTCTCCCTCTTCCTCCACGACCTCGTCCTCGTCCTCTGCTTTGAGCAGACATTCCCTTTCCACGACCAATAGGCAAGATACCTAAACGGGCAGCCTATAGAAGAAAGGAACTGTTTTCAACTTTTGTGGACATAGTGCTTTATACTATTTGCTACAAATAATGGGCTTATACCTTTGAGATCCATGAGGGGAGCAGAGGTTGTGATGTGGGGCTTGTGGAATGGGACTTTTCTCTTCCCCCTTACGTACTGCACTGAGCCCCCAGAGGGTCAGGGGACCTTCATGAACAACTTAGAGGGTAAACTGGAATTTGCAATGTGTGCGTGAGCAAAAACTTGTGGAAATCTCTCCCCAATAGTAATGCTTGTCTGCCACTCAAAATAAGCTACAGGATGCATGCCAATGTTATTACAAATAGAGCAGATAACTTTGCAAATTCACCTCCACCTGTAACTGGTTGAGCTTTTTCCTTAACTCTGTTGTATCTTCTCCTGAAGACAGTCTCTTGTGATAGTCTAGTTCTGCATCCAAAAGTTCCTTTTGTGCCTTGAAATGGAAGAAAAGTTTAAAGAAAATAGATTTGCATTTTTGGGCTTTTCTTTCTTTGAGTAACAGTTTTGATACAGGTCCCTGTGGAATAATTTCTTACTACCAACCTATCTCAGTGCTGACAGCATGCATTATAAAGGGGACAGGCAAGAGAAGAAGAAAATGACACCACACTAATTTCATAACATTGATACTAAGTGTACACAATGCTGATTCAGACCACACATGACTCCTGGAGGTGCCTTGTGAAACCACAGGTTCTTGTTAGAAAGCCAAGGACCCCAAGTTTTCAATCTTTAAGGGCACTCATGTTTACAGGAACATGTTTGAGCAAAAATACAAAATATTCTAGGGGAATGAAGTAAGGTGGACAGTATTTTTTTTAAAAAAGGGTCAATTTCACTGTACTTAAAAATCCATTCATTTTAATGGATAACTATTTCAGAACAATCATCTTTAGTTAAGTGAAACAAGCTGATCAATATGAATTGCCACCTACTATGTTAAAGGAAATAAGATGCTAAAATTTAGCAGGTCTACTTTCTGGAGCATGACAGAATTCCAGCACTGGTCTTCATGCTGAATCCAGTGCTGTGATGTAGTGCAATGGGTTTTTTGAGGGACAGCAGAATAAAATTATAATTCCTAGTCTTATAAATTAACAATGCCCAAGAACTGTACAAGCCGGATTACTTAAAAACATAATTAAAGTAAACTGACACTCATACAGTCTATTATTTTTTATGGATAAATCTGTCCCACAGTTAATTACTATTAAACATTTCTTTCCTGCCTTTTCTTGCAAGTGGACTCGGGGTGGTTATACTGTATTCACTGTATTTTTCCAAGTGAAGAGTTCTGAATTAGCTCTACAGGCAAACAAGCTAAAAATAAATGGTACATTTATCTTTACTATCTATATCTTTACACTTAGAACCTAACACCTTGGTTTCAAACCAAGGAGATGCCTCGTACTCTGCAGTAACTGGGTGGTTCACCTAAGCAATCAGTAAAAGGAAACACCTATCTTCAGATGCAGAGTCAATTAAAAGAAAAATGTGGAGAATGATTTTGCTACTGATTTCACTTCACATACCCACTGGATGCATCACACTGCTGGGTAGCAATGCAAAAGGCACTGGCAGAATGCAGATGTTCACTGCATTCACCTCCCTGCCAGTACTCCCTTCCAATCTCAGAAAAGCTGATTTCCACGCAAGTCAGGGGACTGATGTGAAGAAGAAGGTGATGCAACTATCCCTCTTCCCTGAGAGCTGGACTTGCAAAAAAAGTGGGGAGGGTGCCCTTCACCCTCCTCAAAGCTCCACGCAGGGCCCATGACCATGAAAATGAGTAAACAGGTCTACTGTGGGGGAGGGGTAGATGTGATAAATAGCCATACTCCTTCCAGTGATGTCTTCACTAAATATAACCCAATATCTTCCTTAACTAAAGTTATTAGAGTTGCTGTGTGAAGAGGACTGACCTCGGTTTTAGATTTCAGTTTTGATGTTGTAGAAGTTGCAGATGAAGTTTTTAATTCATCTTTTAACTGAGAGATTTTTCCTGTTAGCTCTTTCAGCGTCTTCATGATCTCTGCTCTCTCCTCTGGTTTCATGGCTTTATTCTTTTCTAGCTTTGATATCAGCATCTATGTAAATAAAAACATGAAAACCATGACAGATTAAGTTAACTTCATCCAAGTCTCCCATGGAATGCTTTAAATGTTATGTACCTACTGAGAACAAACATGCTGTACATTAATGAGATAAAATCCAGGTCTACCTTTTGACATTCTATTTGCTTCTCTAGCATCTCTTGCTTTTTCTTCCTCATATCTTGTTGTAGCTTCATTGCCTCCTAACAAAGAAGAAAATGTTTCCCGTGATATAAATAAGCATGCCCTAATTAATACAACTAGAAAACTGACTTATCAGTTTGTTTCTCTTAGATGATATTGCAAACATTATCATTTTTTAAAAACAACATACCAAATGTAACATAACCGTTTAGAGGAGGACACAACTATAGCACTTTCAACTGAGTCAGGCACAATATATGTCATTAGCAGTGTAAGGCTCAGACCTCAGCTATGGCTCCTAAAATGCTGTTGCCTCCCTGTCCTGTGCATGCAGTCAAACAGATTTTTAAATAAACACCTTTTGAAACCCAGGCTCACAGCTAGCTCAACATTGCGTAAATCATATCTCACCCACTCCCAATCAGGGAAGCAACAAAATAGTTAAAAAACCTTGTTGGATCCTGGCTATATTCACAAAAAAAACACCCTCAATTCAGAAATGAACTCCTGAAGACCCCCTTATATGCAAAGTTCATCTAATTGCTGATGGGGGGGAAATCATCCAACTTGATGAAACTGATCTATATTCTAGAAGACCTGTCATAAGGCAGAAGACTCATATTTATGCGAAAACATTTTCAACTTCAATGTGAAGCCCGAAACAAACCTTTCTCATATGAAATCTTGGGAACTGCCCTTCTGATGAACATGGCTTTGATCATGATACAAAACAGACTTCAATAAAAGTTGCATTCCATTTCAAACTATGGGTAGCACCAATCAGAAAATGTGCAGCACTATGGGGTGGATTCCTAAAGCACCAGTGGGAGGTGCAGGCAGATTCCCTCCACCTCCACCTTCGCTCACCAGCCTCATGGGGTTGGACGACTTACATGGATAAAAAGCTATGCAGCACAAGATGCTTTTCTGAGGATGGAAAATGCTCCAAATCTCCCCTTTTCCTCCTCCATCAGCAGTCCTGAAGCACCATGGACAGAAGAGCAATTTTACTCACTTCCTGCTTCTAAGTGCAGCTGTCCATATTGCATGGCTTTTCATTCATGTGAATCTTTAAGACCTCTAGATCACCTTTTCAAAGCTCACAAATAGGCAGGCGAAGTGGGAACATCCACTTCAAATGGCAGCATTTGTTGCCACCACATAGAATCCAACCTGTATCAAATACAGCACAAATAGCAAACATGTAAACGGTTACCTGTTTCTTTTTCAGAACTTCTTGGACATCATGGGATTTATTTCCTATACTAGACTTTATGGATGTCTTTAAGTTGGAGGAACTGTACACCATCTTTGTGTGGGCAGTAGAAGTAGGAAACATCTGAAAATAGTAATTTAGGATAATACATATATTATGCCAGGATGAAGCTTTCACAAGTACCTAGCTATCTGTATAAAAACAATCTTTTAAAAGATGAAATCACACTGCAAAATTCTCCAGTATTTTGTAGGCTGTGTGGGGATGAGGTGTTTTTTATTAGAGTCCAGACTGTTTTTAGGGCATTAAGGGAAATATTGTCCATCCAGTACACAATACACAACAAAGAGGCAAACATCTAGCCCCAGTTTATCAAGCATTGCGGTAATGCTGCATGGGAAAAGGAGTAGACAAGAGGGAGAGTGGTCAAGAGCAGCTACTTGTTCTGCTGGATGCAAAACCAAGATTCACTTCAGTGCACTGTGAGCAATGCTCTGCAAGCTCTGACCAACTAGATTTTGTGACATCACAGCAATTCAGCTAGTGGCTGGGGAGAACTCAAATGGTACAACCTGTTTATAGCTCACATTTCCCCTTTTACCAAGGCTTTTGGCAATGGGCAAAATTACTAACGTTACTCCGCTGATCTACTTCATGTTTCAACACCTTATTCTGCAACCATAATCTTGACAAACGGGTTTCTTAAATGGCTAGTACAATGCACTCTCACTCTTGCATGTGCAGAAAAAAACTCACTTGACATAAACAGGTGACAATTTTTGAATACAGGAGAGTTTTCCTGGCCAATCTAAAAAGGCAATTTCTTGGCTTACTGGACATTTTATTCATCACCCCACAAATATTCTATTTGGTGAGGAGTACAGATCACGCCACAAGATCAGTGTTAGCCTCCTATAATAATCCGTACTCTGCAAAACACTTAAATCCGTCGTCATATGACAGGAACTTATGAAAAAACTGAGAAAGGATATACTGGACCTATAATCTAAGCAGTCAATTTCACAGAGGTTATGAATGCTCAAAATCACCTAGAATATTCTTGACAGAACCAAGCAACAAACTAACACACAATTCCTAACCACACACAAAATGCTCTAGCTGTTTAGATGCTAATGTACACATGTACTTACCTGAGCATCCTCTGCTGCAGCACTGGACTGACTAAGCAACAAATGTTGAGAATCCAGCTGATTTCCACCAGTTGCTCCAAGGCGATGTTTTACTGGAACCTTGTTAATGACATAGGAACCCGATGTCAGCGGTTTATTTGTTACCTGAATGAATAAGCATAAAACAGAACAATGTGATTGTGTGTACACTGAAGTAAAGAATTAGAAATCCAAAGTATTCTCTAGGGAGTCGAGGGAGAAAAGCACTCCAATTTGTATAGGGGCACTACACCTTTGGCACACTGCTATGCACTATTACAGCTGGAGTCTGTGTCAGCATTTGTTGCTGCAGGTGGAGTTGGTGATGAAGTGGTAGTGGGGTCTGCTGCTGCTGGGAGGGTTGCAATGGCTGCTGCTCACTGTTTTCTCGGTGCCACAAAACTCTTATAAACCGATTGTTTAACACTGCCTCTGTGCTGGAAATGGCTTTTCTGGCTTCATCATTTGTTAAGTACTGAATTAAAGCAGCTTCTGGATCACCTCTGAAGGCAACCTAAGGAATATACATTACAATTAGCAGTATTACCAGCAGTGGAAAATCAACATCAAAGTTCATAATCCTGTATTTTTTTAAAAAAAATTTCCTGTCCCCAGTCCAAATGCTACATGATGAATTCCACTTGTGTAATGTATTACACTGCCAACCTAGCAGTTCGAAAGCAAGAAATTGCAAGTAGATAAATAGGTACCACTTCAGTGGGAAGGTAACAGCGTTCCGTGTGCCTTGGTGTTTAGTCATGCCGGCCACATGACCACGGAAACGTCTTCGGACAGCACTGGCTCTTCGGCTTTGAAACGGAGATGAGCACCACAACCCTAGAGTCGAATTCGACTGTCTTTCGAGCAAGGGAACCTTTACCTTTAATATATTTTAAAGTTGCTTTTCTGGAAGCAGGCATGCACCTGTGCTGCCAGAAATACCATTCCTGAAAGTACAAGAAACTTTAGAAACAAACTCAGATTTGAGGTGGTCGAACGCACATTTTAAAAAAGAATTTTTCAAGTACCACATGTAACCTTCCTATTAGCTCCTATATATAGAAATTCAGCTAGTCCTTAACAAAATAGTCATCTAAGGTGATGCAGCTCTTCTGTTTCACATGAAGAAACTAACTGTACCTTTTTAAAAGTTCTCTTTTAGTCTAAATTAGAGGATTTTATTAATTATAAAAGTCTAGATATGAAGATTTTTCTATTCATTTAACCTTGATTTGTAGAGGTATATAAACAGGAGACTCTGACATTTAGGATGGAGCATCAGTTGAACATGGCCTTGCAGGGGGCATCTCATTTTCTCCCCCACTACTATTTTTTCTTTCCCTTCCTGGGCACCGTCAGAGCTGGTCTCCTTTTCCTGCCTCCTTCTCAGATACCTGTTCCCTGTCTTCAGCTTTCTCTTTGCCTCCTCCCCTCCTGCCTCGGGAAACTATGGTCTAGTTGCACACTGGTGGCTGCCAGATCCAGCTGGGAAGCAGGGAACACACAGGAACTCTTTTTTCCCTTGCATCCCTCCCCACACTATGTCCTTTTCCCCCTTCTTCCTACCAATCCCCTTATTCTCACCTTTCACTCCTACTCACCCAACCACCCAAATTACCTTTTTATCTGCCCTTGCACCGCTGGTTATATACTTATTTCATTTATACCCTGCCTTTTTCCACAATGGGGACCTAAAGCAGCTTACATCATGCTCCTCTCCTCCATTCTATCCTCACAACAACCCTTTGAGGTGGGTTAGGCTGAGAATGTGAAACTGGCCCAAGGTCACCCAGTGAGCTTCCATAGCAGAGTGGTGATGCAAACCTGGGTCTCCCATATCCTAGTCTGTAACTCTAATTACCACACAACACTGGCTGTTAAGGATGGCGCTTCTGTTGAACAGTAGCAAACTGCAACTCATGTGGTAGCAAGCCACCCAGTAGTTGCTGGTCGGCCTGGCCCCAATGAGTTCTCCCTCAAAGGCCAGAACAGCTCTGGAAAGTACCCTGCTCCCAAGCTTCTACTGGCAGAAAGCAGGGATTGAGGGCTGGCAATACTTTTGCGGTTGCCTAGCAATGGTCACTGAGGGTATTCATTTCTTAAAGCTATAGGGTCTGCTTTTATTATTTTTAAGGGGGTTAAAACCTGCGATTTTAATTTCAGATTTTTCTGCAAACCGGAGGGATTTTTCAGGTTTGTAGAAGGAACTGACTTGTCTGTCCATGGCTCCAATCTTTGGCTTTAATTATTTTCAAATTTGGCCATATTGACATTGGATAGATTATATTTGATCAGTGTGGTACCATTATTTATGTATGTGAGAAACACTGTGAAAGAGATTATCTTAAACAACTTTTACAAATATAATGGCAATTTCAACTTCTGACAACTGCACCATACTTTAATTTCCTACATGAATCACAAATCTGATGGCTAGTACTGAAGACCTAACCCCCTAATTAATAGAGAGCTATGGAATTCCATAGGACGCTTGAATATACACCAGTCTTCAATCAAGACTTTGTACAGAAACAAAACAGCATCTACGTAAAACAGCGTAAGGCAAGACAAAAGCGGCGTGCTGTATGACTGGTCACAGAATCTTTTGATTTATGCCCCCTGCCGAAATCTAGTACACTATTGGTTTACCTGAATGTTGACAATTGTTCCAAACTTGCTGAAGTGTTCATTAAGCTGGGTGATATTGTTCAGTTCTGGGGGTATTTTACGAACTTCCAGCTTGGTGTTTGTATACTGGTTCTTCTTTGGGAATCCTGGCTTATTCTGATTGTTATTAGCTTGTCTAAAGAAATAAAAATGTAGGCATTAAAGGAATGCTTGCTTCTGCAAAACAGCTTACTACCCTAAGAACTGCCTGCTGGGTCAAACCACAGTTCATTTAATCAAGCGCACACTATCCAGAACAGATGCCCTCAGAGGCTCACAAGCAGGGTAAAATAGAAATACCCACTTTTGTTCCTTGTTACTCAAATAATCCAGTTTTAGCCATCATGGCAAACAGTTATTGATACATATATCCTTTATAAATTTATACAGTCCTTAAAATCACTCACACAAGTAGTTATAACTGTCTACAGCAATACATTCTGTTGCTGGATGAATTACTTCCTTTTGTAATCCTGAACCTATCAGCAATCAGTTTCACTGTAAGCCTCCAAGTTTTAATGCTGAACTGCAGACCAAAAGGTTGGTAGTTCAGCAGTTCAAGACCAGAGTGCCGCATGACAGCGTGAGCTCCCATCTCTGGTTCCAGCTCCTGCCAACCTAGCAGTTCAAAAGCAAGAAATTGCAAGTAGATAAATAGGTACCGCTTCAGTGGGAAGGTAACAGCATTCCGTGCACCTCTGTGTCTAGTCATGCGGGCCACATGACCATGGAAACGTCTTTGGACAACGCTGGCTCTTTGGCTTGGAAACAGAGATGAGCACCGCATCCCTAGAGTCAGATTCGACTGGCTTTCGAGCAAGGGAAACCTTTACCTTTACTACCTATGTGGGCCTTTGTCACAGCTCAGGTGGGGTGTCTCCTGATGCTGCCACCACTCTGGATTTAGGTTCCCTTGAGAAGGCCCAGAGCACCCTCTCAAGACCTTCAGACCTCCCTTTTTGGCCGAATAACAGGCGTGAGGACCAGGGAGACTGAAACAAGGAAAAGGTTTATTTTATAGGAGGTCAAACAACAAGGAGCAGAATAATAACAGTAAGTGGGTGAAAAGAAAGAAATCAAATGCCCTAACGCGTCTGAATATATACTGTCCCTAGCTCACTACTCCAAGTGACACTAGACTACTCACCCCTCAGGATGAGGGTTTCTTCCTGCAGTAGCCTTCCTTCTGGCTCTGCCCTCTGGAAGAAAGAACAGCTTCTGCTCTGGCACCAGCCCTTTTGTTCCTTAGCCCTCTTCTTCCCTATTGGTCAATTTTGGCTCCAAAACCTCTCAGGGGTTTCTGGGAGTTGTAGGCCCAGCCTCACCTACTGCTACACAGGCTTCCTAGGCCTGCTAGGGCATGCTTACACAGCCCAGATCATGACAGCCTTAGAAAGCATTGCTAACAACAAAGCTGGCGGAGGTGATGGTATCCCTGCTGAGCTATTCAAAGTCTTAAAAGATGATGCTGTTAAAGTGCTGCACTCAATTTACCAGCAAATTTGGAAAATGCAACAGTGGCCACAGGATTGGAAAAGTCAGTTTACATTCCAATTCCAAAGAAGGGCAATGCCAAGAAATGTTCAAACTATCGCACAGTTGCACTCATATCACACGCTAGCAAGGTCATGCTCAAGGTCCTACAAGCTAGGCTTCAACAGTACGTGAATAGAGAACTGCCAGAAGTACAAGCTGGAGGAACTAGAGATCAAATGGCCAACATTCGCTAGATTATGAAGAAAGCAAGGGAGTACCAGAAAAACATCTACTTCTGCTTCATTGACTATGCTAAAGCCTTTGACTGTGTGGATCACAACAAACTGTGGCAAGATGGGAGTACCAGACCACCTCACATGTCTCCTGAGAAACCTGTATAAGGGTCAAGAAGCGACAGTTAGAACCAGATATGGAACAACTGATTGGTTTAGCACAGGAAAAGGAGTACAACAAGGATGTATATTGTCACCCTGCTAAGTAGTGACAGACTTCACGTTCCTGGGATCCAAGATCACTGCAGATGGTGATTGCAGCCATGAAAGTAAAAGACGTCTGCTCCTTGGGAGGAAAACTATGGCAAACCTAGACAGCATAACAAAAAGTAGAGACATCACCCTGCCAACAAAAGTCCTTATGGTCAAAGCAATGGTATTGGCTGCGAGAGTTGAACCATAAGGAAGGCCAAGTGCCAAAGAATAGAAGCTTTTGAATTATGGTGCTGGAGAAGACTCTTGAGAGTCCCTTGGGCTACAAGAAGATCAAATCAGTCAATCCTAAAAGAAATCAACCCTGCCTGTTCCCTGGAAGGCCAGATAATGAAACTGAAGCTCAAATACTTTGGCCACCAAATGAGAAGGGAGCACTCACTGGAGAATACCCGGATGCTGGGAAAGACCGAAGGTAAAAGAAGGGGACGGCAGGGGCGGAGTCGAGCGTCGCAACATGGCGGACGCATGATTTAGCTGCTCCCGATCGATCCTTTCCCCCTGGCTTCAAAACCTTACCGAAATACGTTAAAAGAAAAACAAAGTAATGGGAAGACTGAAAGGAAACAAAAATAAATCACTTGGCAAAGACTCATCGTCAGTAGCCACCTATTTTCAAAAGGATTCATCTCAAACGCCGCCGGCAGATAAATCCTCCAAAATGGCGGATGACAGCAGCCCGAATGGCTCGAAAGATGCAAGGGACGAACTCCTCCAAAAAAAAGACCTACTCGAACTCAAAGAAGACATCCAATGCTATTTCAAGGAGTCTATGACGGAACTTCTGCAGCCTGTTCAAAACAAACTGCATGTAAAGCGGCGGAATCGGCACTAGAAGCAATGGAAACAATGCAGGTAGACTTAATCTCTTTAAAAAGATCAGAAAACATGTTGCAAATCAAGTTAAACTCCCTTGAACATAAATGGAGACAATTTAATGTAAAACTAAGAAGGATAGAAGAGGGAGCAGAAAAAGAAGCGAGCGATTTATCATCTTTTATAGCCATGTGGTTGGTAAAAGCAATGAACTTGGAGGAAGGTTTGAGCCCAGCAATAGCTAAAGCTCAAAGACTGGGGCCGTTGGCAACGGTGCGCCAAAATCGTCCCAGAGACATTTTAGTCCAATTTGTTCACGCAGCATTCAGAGAACGATTACTTAGGGAGGCGAGGAAAAATGACTCCTTAATATTCAGAGGAAAGAAAATACTGGTACTTCTGGACCTCCCTCCAGAAGCGTTAGAAAAAAGGAAACTCTTGAAAATTTTTACTTCCAAGCTATTACAAGCCAAGATCTGTTTCAGGTGGAGTGCTTCCTCTAACATAATTGTATACAAAGATGGATCATTATTGCAAGCATCGGATTTAAAAACGGGTCTTACACTTATGAAGGCTCTTCATGTAGAGGTAACTCAAGAAGAACGAGCTGAAATAGAGGCACACCCTGCTTTTGGGACACAGGAAGAGAGAGATAACTGAACTCTAAACGGAACGGTTTGAACTGTTTAAGTGTTTGGAACTTCATGGTTGGCATTTAAAAAGAACAGAGAAACGCAGTTTAGAATTTAAGACAGCACCTCGTTCCTGCTAGACTTTATAAAGTGTTATGTGTTTGGAACTTTATGGATGGCATTTAAAAAACAACAACGGCGGGACCAGAGAAAAGTGGTTTGAATCCATGACAGCAGCACGTTGCTGCTAGACTTAAAAATGTGTTATATGTTCAGAACTTCATGGTTGGCATTATAAAAAAAAAAGCAGAGACATACAGTTTTATAATGTGTTATATTTGATCAGTAGTAAGCTGTTTGACTTCAATTTTTATAAAGACCATTTTTTGGGGAAGTATAGAGTATAAAATTATTATGGCACTTCTAATTCATTTGTTAAATAATAATATTGACCATAATGGTGCTTAAAACCTATTTTATTTGATGAAATAATAGGTTGAGATATAAAAACGGTATTATAAATTTAATTCATTTATTTGGAGGTAAAGAAATATTAATATGGTGATTAAAACCTGTTTTATTTAAAGATGGTTTTGGAAAGGATATAATAATTATTATTAAGGTGTTGAAAACCATTTTTATTTTATAAAGGTTATAATTATTATGGTGCTTCAAACCTAATTCATTTGTTAAATAATAATATTGACTATAATGGTGCTTAAAACCTATTTTATTTGATGAAATAATAATTTAAGGTATGGTGAATAAAACCTATTTTATTTAAAATCTTAATGTAAGATGGTTAACATTAAGATATATTAATTTAAAATTATAATATATATTAATATTTTTTACTGTTTTAAGTATGATTTAAAGTACAGAAATCATGTGAAGAATGAAGACAATGAAGAATGGAGCAGTAGATGTGAGGAAAGAACATCTTTGAAAACTGAAAAACTGTGAATATGGTGTTTTCTTATCATTTCTTATTATCATTTAATGTAAAACTAGGAGAACAAATATGGTTAATTTAAAAGTGGCCAGGGGGGAAGGGATTGAAAGAAATCCAGTAATTAGCATTTTTATTGATAAAAATTAGTATAGTTAAACGGACCAGGAAGAGTTTGATCTTTTCCTGTTTTTTTTCTGCAGACTGAGGCAGAAATTCTGTTAACTTAGCCTATAGATTAGGCGACTGTGGGTTAGGTTTTTGTGTGTTGATTAAAATTGTTGTTTAGTATTTTTTAGTTTGTAGTGGTGGGGTAACAAATACCATACTATCTAAATGGTTGACTGCAAACTAGTTTCATGGAATTGTAGAGGCATGAAAAACCCTGTAAAAAGGAGGCTAACTAATATCATTGTAAAAGAGAAACCAAACATAGTATTTCTACAGGAAACTCATTTAAAAACAAAAGATCACAAAGTATTGGCAACATCTTGGTTTAATCAATCATATCAGTCATTGGGTTCCTCAAAAGCAAGAGGTGTGGCAATTTTAATTTCAAAAAATACTCCGTTTCAAGTAGAAGACACAAAATTTGATACCAAGGGAAGATTTATTTTTGTTAAGGGAAAATTAAATGGAAAATTATTAACGTTGGCTTCAATTTATTCCCCTAACTCAGAACAATTGCCCTTTATACAAAACACCTTAGATCAACTATTTGCTTTTCAACAGGGGGAAGTAATCATAGGAGCAGATT